GGAGGACCGAATAGCAAGAAAGAGGTGTGTCTTCCTGGTGTCTGTCTGGACGTGATCAGAAGCAAGTAACAGAAAAATCCAGCGAACAGTGTTACTGTGACAGGATGGTCACTATTCACTTAACAAGTAATCTGCAACAGGTGGTTCCAGGGATGCTTTGGTACCTCGGTGATTCAGTAAAGGATGTTGCTCTTTTGCCTCTGCCTTCTTCAGGGCATCCACAATGTTTTCCTGCAGGATCACGGGATGACTGCCTAAGCTTCCCATCCTCCCCAGACAGCCCTTAAGCAGGAAGAACCTTTTTTCCCTTGCATGTCTCTCTTTTCCATAAGGAGTATCTTTCCCAAAGCCACTAGCAAATTCCCCTTATATCTTTTTATTTATTAATTTTAAAAATTGAAGTATAGTTGATTTACAATGTTGTGTTAGTTTCCCCTTATACCTTGCATAACAATTTTGTCCCGGTTTGCCAGGTACTTTTCCATTTTTTACCTAAATTTGCAGATCCTGGGAACCCCCTCCTCCCTGGCAGATTTGACCAGCTGGTGTCCCTACTTATATACCATTGGCCAGAACTGGGTCAATGTCCATCCCTTGACCAATCACTAGTAAAGAGAATGGAAGTATTCCAACTGGTTTAAACCAATCAAGATTTTACCTCTTGGGGGAAATGGCACGTTGCCGTTTGAACTGCTGTGAGGTTCTGTGAGCAAGGAAGCAGGATTGGCTACTAGACAGGCATCTGCAGTGTCTGCCACACTTGTGTACATCAGAAACCAGAAAATTCCTGTCCTAGACTAGGCTCTGCTCTCCCCCAGCATCATCACCACCATGCTGTGTGTGTGTGTTTGTGACTAAGTGTGAAAGAATTAGGAGCATGACAAGGATGTTGGGGGAGGGGGGAAGGAGAAAGGCCCCAAAATGCAGGCTTCCTCTGTGGTCATGGAAAACAAGTTTATTTTTAATCTGACATTAATGTGACCTAATTAATGTGCGATTCTTTAAGCATGATTTCTAAACGGGCAATTTTCAGGTAATACTAACAAACCCAGAAAACAGTTGATTTTTCTCCTAAGCTGGATTTTTCGTTGACTGTCCCTGGGTAGAGACTGTGGAGGAGGGGACATCTGAGCAGGACGAGAGGGACTGGGCTGAGGGCAGGCTAAGGGGTCATCCCCAGCTCCAGCTCCAGCGGAATACTGGGGTCACCTAGCCTCCTCCCTCACCTCTTACCTTAGCTACACTCAGGACAGAACCACCCTGAGTCTGACTTACGTTTACCTGACACTAAAGCTCATGATTTGTGAGGTTCCAGCCACAGGAACCAGTCACCATCTCTTAAAACTTAAAAGACAAAGGCTTTGAGAAGTCATTTGTAAACCCGGAAACGACATTTCATTCATTCAAACAAACAAATATTTATTGAATACCTACTATGTCTATGCACTTCAGTGTGTTAGAGATCAAATTATGGTATGTAAAGATCCTCACCCTTATGAAGCTGACATTCTAGAGATGGCAGACAGACAATAAGCAAGAACTAATATGCATCATCATCTGTAATAAATATAATAGAGAAAACCAGAGACAGGGGTAGAGGTGGTTAGGTAGATGAAGGAAAGGGGTGCCTGCTTTTCTGGATCAGAGGTCTTCTTACCTATTTTAGTAAATAACATTTTATTGGAATACAACCAAGCTCATCGATTTACGTATTGTTTATGACTGTTTTCATGCTACAGTGGCAGAGTTGAATAATTCCAACAGAGGTTATATGACCTGTGAAGCTGAAAATATTTACTATCTGGCTCTTAAAGTTAGCCATCACAAGGAGATACCATTTCACACCCTCTAGAATGGCTATCATAAAAGACACACAGTGACAAGTACAGATGAGGATGTGAACAAACTGGAACTCTCACACACTGCTAAAGAGAATGAAAAATGGTGCAGCCACTTTGGAAAAAAGTCTGGCAGTCCCTCCAAGGGGAGACATAGATAACCACATGACCCAGCAGCTCAACTCCTCTTTATATACCTAAGAGAAATGAAAGTATATGTCCACAAAAAACTTGTACCATAAATTTCAGAGCAGCATTATTCATAGTAGCCAGTGATGAATGAATGAATAAATAAAAAGTAGTATAGTTATACAATGGAATATTATCTAACGATAAAAAGAAATGTAATAGTGATACATGCTACAATATGGGCGAACTGTGAAAAGATTATGCTAAGTAAAAGAAGCCAGTCACAAAGTGACATAGTGTATGATTCCATTTATGACATATCCAGAAGAGTCCATCTATAGCAAAAACAAGCTACTGACTGCTTAGGACTGGAGAGACTGAGCAGTAATGGCTAAAGGGTGAAGGGTTTCTTTTTGGGGTGGTGAAAACTGAAGGTGGTGATAGTTCCACAACTCTATGAAAATACTAATAAGGCATGGAATTGTACACTTTAAATGGATGAGTTGTATGGTGTATGAATTATATCTCAATAAAGCTGTTTTTAAAAGGTTTACCAGAATTCCCTGGTGGTCCAGTGGTTAAGAATGAACTTCCACTGAAGGGGGCACAAGTTGGCTCTCTAGTCAGAGAACTAAGATCCCATATGGTGCAGCCTAATGCCAAAGCCTTTGACAGTGTGGATCACAATAAACGGTGGGAAATTCTTCAAGAGATGGGAATATCAGACCACTTGACCTGCCTCTTGAGAAATCTGTATGCAGGTCAGGAAGCAACAGTTAGAACTGGACATGGAACAACAGACTGGTTCCAAATCGGGAAAGGAGTACATCTAGGCTGTGTATTGTCACCCTGCTTATTTACCTTATATGCAGAGTACATCATGAAAAATTCTGGGCTGGAAGAAGCACAAGCTGGAATCAAGATTGCTGG